CAATTTCCGCCATGTAGACGTCTTGCGGCAGCCATAGCGGCTGCAGCAGCCCCATGACCCGTGTGATCAGATCTGTCAGGATCGCGACTCTTACTGGTTGTATGAACAAATTCAACAGTAAATATTATAAATGTCAGTGGTGTGACACGTTGCAAGTCCGAAATTCGTGGAACTGTACGCGCTGATTGAATCGGAGTATATCCAGGTATGTCGGTTCGAGATAATAATCACGTATAGTTGGTGCGACCGCAGGGATAGCCGGACCTTAACGACGCATGCACTTGTAAGATTATAGTGCAAGGCGACCTGTTATGTAATGCGCTGCGTTGCAATCCGTTCTTCATCGCAAGTTGGATGTTTCACTTAGTCAAAAGAAGTTCAGCGAAGCACCAATGAATCGGCTTCAGCTGTACTGCCGTCCTGTTTCCAAAACGGCACGCCGGGGTCCCACCCTGGTCACACCACTCTTCTTTTGCTGGGGCAGTATCATGAGAGAGTGGTTGACTGTTAGGAAAAGCTTGCAGAACTAATACTCACAAGGCAATGATGTTCTCGACTGCCATCAACTTATGTACTTAACGATGTATACTTATAGTCCACAGCGAATCCATCAGACACACATCAGCAACTCGTGAATAACGACGCTATTAAACTCCTCATACTAGCCCACTTTTTGTGGTGCAGAGAGGTGTGGAAGCCTCTAATACGGCTGTGAACACAGTGAGGAGCACAATGACATTGCAGCGACAAGGTTTTCCGTTCTTCCAATCCACCGTCGCGGTACTGTTCTGCACTTTTCTTAGACACTTTTCGATCTTCCTCCAGCATCGGCTACACCACATACTTTGGACACAGTCCGATCTTACCTCCACTTAGCGCGCACAGATATGCAAACCTCGTTGATTCCGTAAACAGCACGCAAGTGGAAGGTAAATTGCTTTGGTAACGGCGCACGATGTACGACTGCGCAACATTGTGAACATAGCTTACACAAGAAACGTATAGGGAATCAGTCAGCATTCTTTAGCACTACATCCCGATATGCATGCCTACGGAGAAACTTTCCATATCACTTTCCGATCGAAAGCCGTACTTCCTCTCTCTTTCTTTACTCTTCTTCCAATCTCCCTTCCCTTCGTGCTTAATGGTGAATAACACAATCGACACTGTCTGAATTGACGTGTGTGAACAAGTTCACCTCTCCAGTGTCAGAGCGCACCTACACAGAGATGTACGCCACCGTCTGGGACGTTCTGCGGCGGTAATGGTAAAATCGCTCTTATTGACCACATCCCTCGGGACATCTGCTGGCAACGAGAGGACCGGGAAGCAACCAACGCCGCGAGGGGGAGTTACTAAGCACGCCCCGTTGGCATGCAACAGAAGCGACTTCCTCGCGCCACCTCTTTTTTTTGCCACCCGCTCGAGTTCGCAGTTGCGCGTTCTTCCGTTGCAAAGAAGCATCCTCGGTGTGGGTGCGTGGCCGCGCTCGGCAAGAGTGGTAGAACAGGTTCACTCTCGCCTAGCCCCCAGGCCGCCGCCGGAGGACGACTGCAGCGTCGCTCGTGATCATCAGCGCGAGTTTTCTTTCTGGACTCGCTCGTGCCTTTTCTTGATTTTCTCTGCGCCGCTGCTGCCTGCCGCGGTCTTCCGTGCACAGCTGACCTCTACGCCGAATGGAGAGGAGAAAAAAAAAAAAAAAGAAACTGCCGTGCTTGGTTTCTTCGCACTTCCTCAGCGTCGTCGCCAGCGCCTGCTTTCGGAGTGCAAAAAAAAAAAAATAAAGGGTGGTAGGAGAGAGAGCAGCGTGAAGGAAAAAAAAAAAAAACAAGACGAAACTGAGCGCTCTCTGGCAGCTTTCCGCGAGCGAGGCAGCGGGAATTGGCCGCTAAGTGCCTATGCCCACTTGCGCGACCAATGGAGCACCCGGCTTCACGCGAAGCAGTGTTCTCTGGACGAGGCCACGTTTTCTACAGCTTCTCCTCGAACCTCTTTATGTAGCACGGTGCCAGAAGCGTCGGACTACCTCCATTCCACCAGCTAGCGCAATTGATCACGGCCGTCAGGCGGCAGGCGGCCGCGAGGGTTGAAGGGCGAGCATGCGTCAGCTCGGCCGCCTGGGTCTCGCAGCAGCAACCAACGCGAAAGCAAGCAGAAGCAACAGCGGGTTACTTGTCGTATGTGCCTACCAGTCGGCCGCGTTCTCACTCCCCTCACAGGGTTCACAGACATCGGTCACCTCCGTATACCTCTTGGAATTCGCTTCTTCGCTGCGGCTTCTTGGGTCGCCTAACAGACACGTCTGCCGACATCAAAGGAACACCTTGTATGCGTACATGGCTGTTAAGATCCTCTCCTATCAATCGGAGCCTGCACCGTGATTACTGCGGAATCAACGAAACAGAACACGTATAATCCCGTACACCAGGGAGTAACGTTACACAGCTCCAAGGAGAGGATGAGGGGACCGGGGGCATGCCGTAACGTTATGTATGTACTCCGTACGCGGACTCGTCCGACCGCTCCTTCGCGTATTGTGGCTATCTGGCGCCGTGCTCCGCACCATTCTCACGAGCCGAGCTCCCTGCTGTATAATGCAACGGGTACTTCAAAGAGAGAGAGAGAGAAAGACACGCCTTTGGCAGCGGCGATGTTTAGGCTGCATTTCGTCATGCGCGATCATCAGCCTTACAGAGAGGCAGGCGTCTTCCTTTCTTCGCGCAGGCAGGAATTACGCCCTGACCCTTCGCACAACGCGGCGAGTGGGCACAAGCGCTGCGCCGCGATGCGTAGTACACGAGTACACACACTCTTCATGACCTGCCGGCGCGCTGCGCCAGCGGGGGGGGGGGGGGGGGGGGGTGCTTTTTCGCTGCGCACGTGGTCGGTCGGCTTTCCCACATAGCGCGGCCGCTGCAAGGTTGATTGCGCCGCGCCACGGCCCCCGTGTGGATCGCAGTGTTCACGTAACGGCACTACCGGATGCGCCCGCTTACTGTACGGGTAGTAGTTCTCACGCTCCTCCTGTACACCCCTGCGCCGCCGTACATTCTCGCAACTTTGCAGAGTAAGCGTACCGCGCTGCCCATTCCGACAATACCCAAGTTTTCAGAATCAAATCTGGAATGCCTCTTTAGAAGGCTAGGCCACGCATACGGGATTAAAAACGTTGTGCTTCGATAATCTGCGATGCAAAGCACCCGGACGTCCTTATCTGTCGTTTTTTCCTTCTGCAAGGCGGAAGTGGTTACGTTCCGGCAAAATGGAGAGGGTAAAGAAAACGGGTTTAGCTATATATAGTGTGTCGGAGAAGAAGCTGAATACTAAACGACGTTGCTGGGATGTTCAAGAAGAAAGCAGCGGTCCGGAGACAAAATCTCTTGAGGGCGACTCCCTTACGCCACGTCTCGCTCAAGGTTTCCTGGAGTAACTTGTAGCTTGTCTCGGGCTGCCGATTTTAAACCAGAAGTCCTTTGAAAGCGATTCCAACATAGTATACCTGCAGGGGCAGCTTCTCGAATGTGATTTTTCGCCTACTTTCGAAGAGAAAGCCGCTGCGAAGAGGTCATTCGCGTTATGTCGCCAGCATGGGCAACGTCACCAGTTAGCCTGCAATACGCGGTGATTGGGATTGGCGCGCGCCACTACGTCGGACGTTGGGCTTCGCTACGCTGTGTTGCAAGCAGCGAGGGAAACAAAGCATCGTCCGGGCGTTCTGCCAGGGAGGCCGATTGGAAATGTCGCAAAGCTTCTCCGTCCTTGTGACTCTGTTCTACTTCGCATGGACCCACCCAATCAGCAACAGCGCGTTGGAAACTCGCGACCGTCAAAGTGCAAAGAGGGCATCGATAAGAAACATTCGCTCACGGAAGTGGCATGTAAACTTTATCCCGAACAACGCACTGCACTAGGCATTATAAAAAAAAAAATTGTGAGTGAGATGCACGGTACAGTTACCTTACGCCATAATTATGCTTAAGATTCTTAAACATGCATAGATGGCTTGCAGGAGCGGCTTGGCACTGCAGCACTACTACGTGAGACATCACTGAGACTCAGCAAACAACGTGGTATCTTAGAAGTCAAAGTTTTAAGATAAAGCACGAAGGTCCTCGATGACGTTATGTTGAACACGGCACTTTAAAAGTGATTTATAATAGGTAAGCACTAATCATCGGTGATTATCACCCGTACTTTAAAAAAAACATGCCTGCACCATTGGTGTTCCCAAGTCACACTGTAGAAAAGGCGAGCCATCAAGTTATACCACAACAAGTGACTTGATAGTCACAGGTCACTTCGGCATCCGACGCGAATTTCGCAAACGCTGCTACCAGACAAAACCCTCTACCACGCAATGCAATACCCTTGACCTTCCACTTGGCTTCCTATTCCTTTATCCAACACTCAAAACCGGTCAAGGCGAAGCGTCGGGCGCCGTCGTAATCGTGCTTTCTCATCTCTTATCCCCTAGATAAGTTGACAATCTCGAAAACAAACTGTCGTGCTGAATTTAGAATTGGCATCTTCCTCGTTCTTGCACGAGAATCTTATTCCGAACGGTCGCTCAATGGAGTTGCGCGCAAAGTGTAAGTTTCGCCGGAGAAAAGGCTGTCGTTATTAACTTGGCTGTACGCCTGAAAAGAGCATGCACCACTACGAAAAAGCCGCCGATCACATTTGCTTACATTTTCCTTGAACACACAGGGCGTGAGTACTACAGCTACTGAACCTAACGTCACTCAGAACCCTACCCACTCTCTCGTGTGGAATCACGTCGTTTAAAAAGCACAACCACATTTGCTTATTCGATCAGCGCACCGAAACCTTTAAGTTGTTGCCACGCGCTTCGCAGCCTCCCGAAACCATTTTTGCCGAATACCGAGACTCCGACTCCAGAGTAACATCAGAACACTGTATAACCATTTACAAGCAACGCCCGGATCACACTGCTCAACAAGTCGAGAATTGACGAGCAGTAATCAAGGTAAGAGTCTCACCTCTTTCCGCGGCCAATCTTATCCAATTCAACGTGGCGAAAATCGTACACCGGGGCCATGGCTGTTGCTGCTGCGACGAGGAACGCACGCTCAGGGGTGTGTGTGATCAAGAACGGGACGTTTCAGGGATGTTCCTGGGTCTCTCACTGGATGCTCCTCTCGGTCGTGGGGGTTGTTGGGAAACAACGCCGGAGAAGAAACTGCACTCCGCACACAAGACAAACGGGAGGATGCTGTCCGTAGGGGGGCGCGACGACCGAGGCGTGTGTGAGATGAACGTAACGGCGCTTTTGCCTACTGGGAGCCGAATAAACGCGTTGCTTCCTCGGGACTCTTCTTGTCCGCTCCGGGGCCCTTTTATGAAGGGTGAGAGAAAAAAGCCCTCTCCTTCCTTTCGCCGCGCCCCTCTGCCCCACGCCCTCTCAGAGCGCCGTCCTCCCGACGCTACGCATCCTCTCCCTCTTATTTTTCTCTCTCCCTCTCGATATAGAAAGAAAGATAAAAAACCAAGTTCGACGGCACGCGTAGCAGCAGCAGCGGTTCGGCGGCCCTTTTTGCAGCGTGGCGTCGTCTGTCGGTGCTTTCGGTGCCGCTGTTTGCTGGCTGTTTGTTTGCGGAAAGAGTCTCTCTCACGGGAGGCCAGCGTGGTGGTGGTGTATGCGTGTGTAGCACCTCACAATGCAGGAGGAGCCCTCCTCCTCCTCCTCCTTGCGATCGGCTGATCTTGTGAATGGGGCGACGATATCCACAGCACCCGACGCCACCGCTCTTCGATTAGCTGACACCGTTTTGCTTTTTTCTTTTCGCGGAGCCCTGAACCCTCTCCCTTGGCGCCGTTTCCCCCCTGAAGGGTCGCTGACGGCGACTTCGGGAATATTAACGATAATGGTGATGAAAAGGGAACACCAGACTGTGCGTGTTTCATATATCACGCGCTTTTCCCTTCTATCTTTTCACTCGGCGGCACTTGACAACGAACTTGAGGCACCGCATTTAGCAGTTGCTTTCTTTAATCTTGTTCTTTTCTGGCTCGAACAACATCGTCGCGTTAACGGCCTGTCGCACTTGTGAAACTAAATCGACGAGGGGCTTTCAGTAAGATTGGCGACGCCTCGATGTAAGGAGCTGACCCAGCCTTTCGCCGACTCGCTCGTCGTTCAAAGACGAATGCGCAATCGACGTTACGACGAGAGGCTTGTCGTGTTCACGGTGAACAGAACGTCACAGGGTCCTCCCTCCTTTGCGTTATTACTTACAGTCAGCGTAAGTAAGTACACGTACTTTCATACAAAGATTGCTTTTCTTTTTGTTCAAGCTACTTTTCGTCAGTCGCTGGACATTAGCTATCCCAATTACTTGCAGTATTTGTGAATAGAACATGCTATAAGGGCGTGCATTGTTGTGCCTCGCCCAAGTTCCACGTGGTCTTCGCGGCCTGCTGGCACCTGGCAGCTGTGGATGAGTCAACCCTGCACCGGGACGGCGACGGACGCGGACAATCGGGAAAAACCACGTCGCCGGCTCCTCTTGACACAAAAGTCGTTGGCCAAGCTTTTGTCAGCCGCCGAGAGCAACACTCCGAAGCAGCGTCGACCCAGCAGCTGTACGGGGTATTCTGCCTTGCTTGAGTCAACCTGGCTGCATCAGGGAGCGACTTTGCGCATGGGATTCCACGTCATCTCACTGTGGTGCCACGCTGGCGCGTGGGGTCTCCCTCACCAAACAGCGAACTGGGCATGCCTTGCCCCCTTTCCTAGGTTCAGAGGGAGGCGGTGTTTGGCTTTCCCTCTTCGGGGCCGGAGAGGAAGACGACGATCTCATTGGAGTATCCTGCGCATAAATTATCTTTGCAAGGGATCTTGGGAAGGCGGACGATGTATAAAAACGCTAGCGCAGAGGCGCTCGTGGGTGATTCTCTTTTCATGTTGTACCACGCTACCATGTAAATACTGTATATAAACATTTTTTTCTCCTTCTCCGGCTTCTCTACTCGTCCTCTCCGGGGACTCGGATGGCCCGAGTCCGCACCACGCTACCCAAAGGCGCAACAGTGGCTGGCAGCTTATGGGATTCGCCTGCGTCGGCTGCATCGAAGTGGTGAGTGCCGCGTGTTTGCTCTTCTTTTCGCCAGACTCGTTAGCGCAGATGGTCGGTAACGTGGTAGGGTGATTGTGGTAAATTTTGATTCGCAGACCAAGAATTGGGTGGCTCGTGGGCAAAATTACCTTAGAAGAGAAACGGTGTGCATATCTAAGATGGAGAAGTTTAAGGTCCAAGAACTCCTCGAAATTTGTCAGGAGCTGAATATTTCGGTCGGCTCGGTTAAAAGAAAACAACAAATTTTGGAGCACTTGGGAAAAGAGGAAGTGAGTTTAGAAGAGGCCATTGAGGCCAGAGAAACCATTTTGGCAAAGAAAGAGGAGCGTGAGCGCTTAGCCCGTGAACAGAGAGAGGAGGAAATAAGGAGGGATCGCGAGGATAAAGAACATGAAATCCGTCTGAAAGAACTGGAGCTTCGTATGTCCGTGGGAAATCGAAATTCAGGGGGTGGAGAATCAAAGATAAAGGATCTAATCCACACCTTCAAGGCGGGTGACGACATTGCATTATACCTCGTGCATTTTGAGCGAGCATGCGAAAATGCAGGGTTTAGTAGGGAGACTTGGCCACAAAAACTGATATGCGTACTACCAGGCGAAGTGTCCGATGTTATCGCAAGAATGAATAAAGAGGACTCCGAGGTGTATGACAGGGTAAAGGCTGCATTGCTACGAAAATGTCGCCTATCGACAGAGGCTTTCCGCCTGCGGTTCAGGCACTCTAAGAGGGGCAACGAATCTCATTCAGACTATGCCTACCAAATTAGAGCCAACTTTGAAGAGTGGCTCAAAAGCGCGCAAGTCTATGGCAACCATGACAAGGTCATTGAGTTGATGGTACTTGAGCAGTTTTACCGGGGAATTCCCGAGGAGGTAAGGCTTTGGGTGCAGGATAGGATGAAAGACGTAGACATGAACAGGGCAGCAGAACTCGCCGAAGATTACTGCTCACGCCGTAGTCTCCGCAGTACACCACGAACTTCGGAAAAAAATGAAAAGGTAGAAAGCTGGTCGGGAAACCAGGGACGCAAGAGGTTTGCAAGAAATAACTGGAAACCCGAGAATTCCAAGTTATTAGACAGTCAGCAGGGAAAGGACAGTGAGGGGACTAAGGCGGCACCTTCATCAGGTTCAAAGGCGCCTGGTGACATAGCGCATGCGTTAGAAGCGCGGAAGCCAGTTGTTTGCTACAGCTGCGGAGAAAAGGGCCACATGGCCAGGAGCTGTAAGAGGCACATGGCATTTGCCACAATTCAGGAGTCAGAGGATAGCTTAAAGCTGTTGAAGCCTTACATGAGGACACTCTCAGTGAACGGCCGAATGTGTAGGGTATTGAGGGACTCGGCGGCCACAATGGATGTAGCGCATCCAAGTTGCGTATCTTCCGAAGACTATATAGGAGAGTGTGCCTGGATTCGGCAAGTGGCAGAAAAGCAAAGCGTCTGCCTACCGATAGCGAGGGTTGTAATCGAGGGCCCTTTCGGCCAATTGTGTACGGAAGCAGCAATTTCAGCCAACCTTCCGGAGCACTTCCCTTACCTATTTTCAAATAAGTCTGAGGAAATGTTAAAAACACGTGGAGAATCATTTGCCACCGAAATAGCTTGCATGGCCCTTACCCGTTCGAAGGCGCGCGAGCTGACGCAACAGCTGAGCAGCTCACCCTCTGGGGAACAGACGTCCGAGGGCAGTGTAGGAAAACCTGAGGTAGTTGCGACGGAAAATGAGTCTGCCAGGCGAGTTGTCGAGACGGAAACTGGGGCTATGGTCGGCAACAGCGAGGAAATATCTCTAACGCCCGAAAACGAGGACTTGGTGACAGGCTCGGTGTTAACACCCGCGTCCACCAGTTGGTGTCAGCTAGCCAGAACCGACCGTGCAACGCTAGTGGTCGATCAAAAGGCGGATCTCGCACTCTCTATGCTGCTAGATGCCATACATAAGGAAGGTAACTCTAGAAAGAACGTTTCGTTCTACACCCAAAACGAGGTGTTGCATCGCAGGTATGAGAACGCTAAAGGGCGGGTCTACAACCAAGTGGTAGTTCCACTAAAATACCGGCGGAACATTCTCGACCTGGCCCACAGCAACGCCTGGGCGGGCCACTTAGGTATAAAGAAAACGAAAGCTAAGCTGGCTCAGGAGTTCTACTGGCCCGGGTGCTGGAAGGATGTAGAGATGTTTGTCCGTGAATGCGACACTTGTCAGCGGATAGGAAAATCAACAGACAAATGGAAGGCACCAATGAAACTAGTGCCAATAATCACAGAACCCTTCCGTCGGCTCGTGATTGACATCGTGGGGCCTCTGCCTCCATCTAAATCAGGATATCGGTACGTCCTGACCGCGCTGTGCGTTGCCACCAAGTTCCCGGAGGCAATCGCACTGAAAGAGTTGAGTTCAGTATGCGTGGTGGACGCATTGTTGTCTATTTTTTCTCGGGTGGGTTTTCCCTCGGAGATACAGTGTGACAACGGAAGTGTGTTCACAAGCTGCCTTACGACTACATTCCTAGAACGCTGCGGGATAAAAATCGCGCATAGCTCTATTCACCATCCACAGTCGAACCCTGTGGAACGCATGCACTCGGTCATGAAACGCGTTTTGCGAGCTTTGTGCTTTGAGCATAAAAGTGACTGGGAGGGGTGTATACCAGCTGCGATGTTTTCTCTGAGGTCGGCCCCACACGAGAGTACGGGTTTTAGTCCGGCTGAACTTGTCTACGGCAGGAACTTGAGAGGTCCGCTGCACTTGATACGAGAGTCATGGACTGGATATGGGGAGGACCCTAATGTGGTTTCCTATGTACTGGATTTATTGGGGCGACTGGGGACTACACGCGAAGTGGTGGAGAGCAACATGCGCGCAGCACAGGCGCTTTCCAAGGCCCGTTACGATAAGTCAGCTCGAAAGCGAGTCTTTAGAGTGGGCGATGAGGTGATGCTGTTGTGCCCTTCAAGAAAAAACAAGCTGGACGTACAATGGGAGGGACCAGCGACAGTGATGTCAGTGCTTTCAGACACCAACTACGAGGTAAAGTGGGGCCGGAAATGCCCCAAAGTGTATCACAGTAACCTAATGAAACCCTACATGCGACGAAAAGCAGTAGTAAACCTTGCACTCAATGTTCCTGAGGACGAGGGCGCGGAAATCCTTTGTCTTTCCGATGGCACGGTCAGCAGCACATTGTCAGATAGGGTAGACACAGGGAACACCCTAAGTAAGGC